ACAATGTTATCTGAAGCTTTGTCAACTAGATATTAGCGAAAAACCTCGACCAACCAGTGCGTGAATCTGCCGGTCGAGTTTCCGCGTTCTGATTGGTCGGGGTTTTTCGTTAATATCTCGTTATCAAAACTTTGGATAACAATTTTGCTTAGAAAAAACTTGTTTCAAATCACCTCACGAGTCTCCCTTTCCGGGTCCTCCAACATTTTTGTTACACCCTGTATACTATTCACACATGTCTTTGTCTTTATTGAAAAATATCGATTATAAAAAGTGTTTTTGACACTTAGAAGTAGATTCCCTAAAATACAGTATGTTTTAAATATATCAAGGTGGTTTAACCTTTTAAATGACAATAAAATATAAAAATAGAAGTTGATACTTTTTTATTGTATTGTTTTTCAAAACGTGCAATTATCTATGCTAGTTGGATATAGAAATCATGTAGTTACAAATTTGATGGCTGAGAGGATAAACAAAAGTTTACAATGCTTATGAACAGAAATTCGAGGCTCTTAGATTTTTTAGGAACATTCTTCCTTCCGATAAACACTGAGGGTAAATCAGAGAACTAAATAACGTTGAGGATGTTTATTCAACAGTGGAAGGAAAATGTGTAACAAGAAAAGAATTAATGTTTAGAACATTTTATAAGATAAATATATTGTAGATGTACATACAGAGAAACTATCTATAATACTGACAATTTACTTGCAAATATGCTTACAATTACTAATGGTCATGTTAATTACTGCACTTTATTAACATTGCTGTATTATTGCTGAAAGTTACACGTGGTACTAATTAAAATGTACTTGGAGTTAAGATAAAAATTACATTAGAGTTCAATTGTACGATAATTACGAATGTAAAATTATCTGTTAAACTACGGTATTAAAATTATTATTATTATTACGTCTTCGTTTAGTCGAAGTGAAAAATATAGGATTCGTGTCGAAAAGTGTCTATCAAGATAAACATGGGTAATCGGTCCCCATGCCAATATTTATTTTTGATATTTGTTAAACAATATTTCTTCCCTGAAGCACTATTGTGTAAAATTTCAGATCTTTAGTCCTTCGTTTAAGGGTAATACAAGGGTAAAAGTTTAGAATTTTATCATTTTTTTTCTCTGTTATTACTTAAGATATTTAGACACATAGAAAAAAATAAATGATGCTATAAACCAGCTGCACTTGAGATTTTTTATTAGAGTTGTAAATCAACTATTAAGTATCGAAAAAAAATCATTTAATTTTTGGGGGTGTTTTGGGGAACAACCCTTTGAATGACCACCACCAGAAAAATCAAGAATAATGTTCTGTTACGTAACTATTATATATAAAAGGTTCAGGATGGTAGAACATACATAGTTTAATAAAACAAGACAGAGTGGCTAAAACATACATAGTTTAATAAAAAGACAATAATTCTTTGGAGAGAAAGTGTATTTGTTGCGAGTCTGAATATTTGTGATTTAAGTGCGACTCGAAAAGGACGACTGCGCTTTGTTTGGGACATCGTAGTGTTTTTATTTTTTTTGTTTGCGTCTATAACTGCTATTGCGGCTGTAACTGCTATATGGTTTCTAAAAAAAAATATTTCTGTGGGATGCATTTAGGTTGTAAACATAGAGATTACTACTCTGAAAAAAATGTCGCGAGTACAGCTAGGATGTAGCTTTATTTAATTTTTTTATGCGTCTAGATATTTTAAGTAATAAAAGAGAAAAAAAATGATATAGTTTAAAATTGTTATCCCCGTATTACCCTTAAACGAAAGAGCAGGGATCGGAAATTTTACACAATAGTGTTTCAGGTAAGAAACATTGTTTAGCAAATATCGAAAATAAAAATTGGCATGGGGCCAATTACCCATGCTTATTCTATTGAACCCTTTCTATATTTATAAATTAACGACAGAGAGGAACTGCCGTGCACAGTATATGATCTTTCTTAAACTCTAAAAAATAACTAACGGCGCCACTATTCTTATCCAATTTCATTGCATTTTGCTGTTTGGAGAAATAAAAGGAAACCATTATGAAAAAAAACTTGACATTTAATTCGATTAAGTTATTGGACTTTCCCAGTAAATAACAATTTAGTTTTTGAATTTTCTTAATTATAGGCGTTCATTTAACAAATTTCGTACTATTTAAATAAATTCTCGACAGCTTCGAAACACAAGGAAATTGGATATGAATGGATGCAACAATTTCCTTAAAAAGTTATTATCATAGACAACAAGGCACTGAATGTAAAGGTACTAATGTACTAAATGTAAAAATTGAGGTACCAGTTATGTATAAATAGCATACTAATTTCGACGTATTTAACGATTAGGGGCCTTTAATAACATTTTGAAAGTGTTAGATATTATAAAATTAAATTCAAAGCATAATGTTCATTTTACATCATTCAATGAACACATTTACAATTTCAAACAAAGTGTAAACCATTTTGAACAGATTAGTTATAATCTTTCTCTTAGTCCTCAATGAAACTTCGAAATCTAGTAACATATTGCTGTAAATAGAGATCAAGTTCCATCAAAGATTCCTTTGACAAATACATTTGACAAAATTTCTATTAAAATAATTTGATAAATATGCACTATTTATAGTTAGGTGCATTAAAATCAAGAGCATTATGTTACAGTTTGAGACCTACTAATTTTAAGTATCGAATAATCTTTATGAAAGAATCTATTTATAAGTATTTATTTACACATTCATGAAAGTGTATTTGTCGTTCGTTTTCATAAAAGTACATTCAATAAATTAGGATGCAAGTTTCAATCATTCTTCTTTTTATAGGAAATCGAATAGAAAATTACATCAAGAAATTAGGATAATGCATCCATTTGTCGTAACGTCGAATGTTAACGATTTGGAAAAGTGACTGGAATTATATTCCATGCATCTTAATCTCTAGTTTAGTTAAGTACATTCACATAATTACATCACAGTATACTGTATAGCAGTAGGTCTGTAAACGAACTTAGGTAAAATTTTATTTTCAGCGTAATATTTCCCGTTTACTATTTCTCTCGGGCGCCATATGCAGTGTATTTTAAAGTAGTTTGGTTAAAAATTACCACTTACGAATATTATGTTTGCAACTGTCACGTTACGATCGCGTTACCATAAAAAAGACATTGTTATCGTGTTTTTACATCTTCCTTGGATGCTATAACTTTGGCAATCGAAGTTCAGGTATTTTAGCAGTAAGTTAAGGTTAGGGTAAGTTAATTTTTAATTATAATTAAAATTTGTTTACATCTTTAATTTTTTATGACTTTACTCTATTTTATGGCTTAAGTTATAATTATAACTCACCTTCGTTATACATAGTATATGAGTTAGAATTCTTTCAAATGTTAACGCAACGTCTTTTTTGTGTGTAAGTATTTAAACAGTGTATAGTAATTATTATGAAATACTTCGTTCGAGTCGAATGATTTATTTCGACAGAAATAAATCCATAAAGGATAACATTTTTATCATAGATGAGCAAATTATTATCTAAGGATAATAATCTAAGTGTAAGCACTTTGTCGAGTCACCGTAATATTCCATAATTATTACGGATTGTTTTCTTAATCTTGGATTAGTATCGAAATATTGATCAGATCGTCCTGAAAACTGAAATTATTTTCATAATTTTTTCTTTTTCGTTATGAAATTTTTTTCAAGTAAGTTATATTTTATTTGAAAATATTGGATTAGTTCTAATTATGATTACGTGTAGAATAATAGAGTTGTGTAGAAAATACTCTGACACACATCCACGATTTTTGATAAGGCGAAATGAGATATGTTACACGTCAGTCTCTGACAGTGAAATGTCGGGATTTGTAAGCCAAGATTAAATAAGAAAAATCGAACTGTCGAGTTTAGAAAGAATCGGGGATCTCTCCCCGCCTCTCTTTCTCTCTCCGTTATCATAATGTGGTCTTCGAATATAGCGAGACAGTTTCTTTTTCACTTTTATCTTTGCCATAAAAAATTAATATAAATTCCCTGTGACTACTTTCCACTGAATAAAATTAAAAGAATATAAAAATTAAATAAAAATTAGAAGAATACGATCATTTGAAAACTTCCATTTGACATTGTACATAATGTATTTTACTGTTATTATAGAATTTCTTGTTTGATATTTAAGACATTCTCAAAAGAATGTAGTTATGAAGCTAGTAGTAAAATGACTGGGCAGTTTGCTCAGCTTAAGCATGCTTTTTGGTTCCCATGTGAACTACATGTGACATTGAATTCAATTTTGCGAAAAGTGAGTCCACTTCCTATTTGCAACCTAAGTTATTGCATTTGTATCCGTTGAAGGTACATTTCTCTTATTTCTGATGCAATATTTTTAAATTAAAATGTAAAGTAGTTTGAATAATTGTAATTTAATGTGCATTATTATTTAAATTTTCTGAAAAGAAGGAAAATCGTGCCACTTCTTACCTTGGGACATATTTGTCACTTTCCTTCATGTAATCTTTATGGAAATATAAAGACTATATTAAATATTTTATATCCTTGCTCTTCTAGTATTAGTTTATAAAATCGTAACCCCTGTTTTTTATTGATTTTTCCTTATTTAACTGCTCATTTTGACAATATTGACTTTGAAAATATGCAACGTCAATTCAAATTATTCTTTATAAAAAAACTGAGTATTGAGTGAAAAAATTACATTCTACGTTTTCACCTTATTTTTGAACAAAGAGTCATCTCCTTTTCAGTTGCACAACACTTTCGTGCACACCCATGTCTCAAGATTTTAGGGATTACTTGCATCGTACAGCGATACTTTTCGTAATTTACAATCACAAAATAATCCGCAATCGCACTGTCCATTCAAACCTTAACGAATCCCTGCTTAAAATCGTCAAAAATACGGAATACAAGCTTCGTGTTCGACAGTTACAACCAGGTATATTTGTACCTTCCAACTCTTGCATCCATTCCCACAGTAATTCATATTCGAAGTTTACTTCAGTTGCACCAATACCATGAAATAGGTGACCATGGCTCCCAACACCTGGAACATTTCATGTTTGTATTATTCATATTATTTTTGTTATTTACTTTTATTTCTATGAAACCGTAGAAGCTCAACAGCAAACAGTCATTTAAATCGATCCCCCTGAATATCTTCGAAACCGTTGATGATACAGAAAAATGTTTCATATGAATGTTGAATTGTTTTGAGGGGGAAATAATTTCATGCAATTTTTTTGTAGGTGGACGCATAGAACACATATGAAAGCCAAATTAGTTTCTCTCAGTTTAGTTACTTATTAAGAAGTGCAAATTAACAAAGTTTCGTAATTTCTCATAAAAGTTGCCTAAATTGGATCCCTAAGACTCTAAAAAGTACCGATACGTGCATGCAAATTACAAAATAGGTTGGGAACATTGAGAAAACTGTGAAAAAAGGTGGAATGTATAATTTCTATCCCTCAAAAAGGGTTAAACTGATGGTTTCTTGGCACAAATAGCTTACAATTTTTTTCATAGGAAATGCCGAGTTGTATGAAATAACGTATTAAAGAATACATAATTACGGTAATTATTCACAATAGAGGACTGCTCAACGATTCGGTTGACCTTGAAATGTGTTGTTAAGCTCATCATTCTGAATAACTTTTCCCTATACATGTTACCGCCGCTCGGCCTTAGTTTCCGAGATATTCAGGAAAATATGTTTAAATTTACATGATTCTTTTTCAGGCTTTTATTTATTATTTAATTATTATACCACACACTCAACATCGCGCCACACACCACCCAGTATTAACCCTGCACCCAACACCCCATCACGCACCACCAAGTGTTAACCACGTACTCAACATCTCACCAAACACAAGACACATGCACGATGTGCTCTGGGGCCCGGCGACGAAACTTTTTTCCTGGTTCTCTAGGTATTAATAACCAAACTTATGTTTAATCAGATGTTGGATGCGTGGTTAGCACTGAGTGGTATGTGATGGGATGTTGGGTGCCGTCAGGCGACCGCCTATGCTAGAATGAACTGCAGTCGTAATCAAATAAGTTTAACTAAAGTTTTTTGCAAATATATCAGAAACTATAACCGAGCAGCGGATACATGTATAGGGAAAAGTTATTCAGAATGTTGACCTTGACAACATATTTCAAGGTCAACCAAATCGGTGAGTATTGTAATAATTAATTGTAAATAATTACCATAATTACATTTAAAAAAAAACATATTCGACTTTCATATACCCTCTACAAGTCCACCTACAGAAAAACTACTCATATCAAAGTATTTCCTGAAAAAGTTATTTCTAATTTTGTTGCGAAAAAATTTGCGCTACTCTGACCTGACCTTCTTTGCATAAAAAACATCCGAAACGCGTGACAACTACATATTGCATCACCTTTACAAGTATGTAAGTACAACTTCTACAAATAATTTCATAGTACCGATGCGGTTGAAATACATAATCTTACCGAAGCGAAAAGATCTAAGGACACCGTGAAGAATTTCGCCCCAGATATTGACATCGCTTTCTGACACTGTTGACAGACGATTTGCACGAATGTTTTCGCCTCCTCTGAACCGTCGTACCAATGACAAGAGTAAGCGGCCTCCATCACAGATGTGCTCTGCATAAAACACAATCGTAAAATTAATGTTTTAATCCCTTGAATGGATTTCCTGTTTTTAAAGAAACATTTCTGTGTTGCGTAATTATTGTTTTGTTATTTTCCTTTACTGCTGCGTTTCGAAAATGTGATCCTTGAAATTTTTTGTCGAAAATTCTAAGAGAGAATTTTTCATTTAGCTGGAACAACACGTTTCTTTACTTGCTGAAGAAAGTATATAATTCTACGCACCTCTTCAATCAAACGATTTCCGAATATGCAGAGCATGAAAACTTGACCCAGAGTATACAGCAAATATCCAATCACTGACGCTGAATATACGTTAATGCCATTGATCTAGAAGTTAAATTAAAAAAACTTATTTTCCTCATTACACTTAAAACATCATTTCAACAATAAAAAATGTAAGACATTAGATAAGTACACGTTTTATGGCAAAGTTATATGTGTATAACGTATGAAAATATGTAAAATATATAAAGTTGAAAATTTAATTTCCTGAAAAATTATTTAACACTATTGTACGATGTCTTACTTTTGTAGCTTGGTAGGCAAGCAGCGTTAATGTGACAGTGGTGGCCAACATGTGTAGCAATAAAGCAATTCCATATGCATCACCAACTGCAGTAACCAGTCTGCAAAAAAAAAAAATAAAAGCAGCAATTAATAACAATTAATAGCGATGTATGTATAATGGATATCTCAAATATCTTGACATAATTTTCAATATTGACGTGTATAGAAATTAATATTAAATAATAAGTATAGCATAATACATGGTGTCAATTCAATAAAACACATTTTACAGTAAAATTGTCATTTTAAATATCTCAGTATAGAGGTATTGTATGTCAATACTTATTTCTTCAATTTTTAATGTTCATTCAATTGCTATAAAGAAATATAAAGGGTAGCCATTTAGAAAGAAATCAAGGTGATCTTCAAAACTATTTGTATAAAGAATGTTGAAAAAAGATAATTATTCGAAAATATGTCCCCCTTGAAACCACGTAACTATTGTTTCCAACATTTTTGGTGTACAGCAAGTAATTTACAAGTCATATTAAATTGTCAAGTTGGGTGCCCCACCTTGTATACAGGGTGAGTCACTTAAGGCAAACCACCTGAATAACTTCCACAATTTTGGAGATAGAAAAAAACGTTTGGACAATAGTTGTTTGGTTTCCAGGTGGGCAATAAGAGGCCATTAAGTGTTGAGCAGACCTTTTTCCAAGTGGAGGTGCTTAGGAGATTTCAAAGTCACTTTGACTTTTTTAAGTGGAGCTATGTACTTTCAAGTATCTAAGATTGTAACCCTTCTCAAAACGATTTCAATGACTATAGTCAGTAAAGGTCACTGAAGGGCATTGGCATAAAAAATGGTGAAAAATGACAGAAAGTAAAATAGCGAGTTGGCATTGTACAGTTACAAAGAGCAAAATTTATATACATATATGGCTATTATAAATCTTGTATAAATTGTGATTGTGTTGTTATATTTGTCACTCGCATGTCATTAAAACTTTGTTATTAATGCTTCGACGTAGTGCTATAGCACCGTGTGAACGTAAATATAAACAAACTTAATTCTGGTAATACAGCCAAGAATATTGTGTTTCGAAAGCATTCACAACGAATTTTCATTTTTCACCTTTTTTTATATCCATGTCCTTAAGTGACCTTAAGTGACCTTAAGTGATCAAGGTTATTAAAATCATTTGAATAAGGACTATAATTATTTAAAGATACATGGTTCCATTTGAATATGTTAAGGTGACCTTGAACTGTTTAGGTTGTAGAAATTATACAAGGGGCTCGTATCAAAGTGCGTATATTTTATATAGCACAACACATCATGTAACAAAGTTATAAAACTTGTTAGAAAAACAGAAAGAAATGTGTTACATAACATGTTCTTATGTAATATTTTTCCTTTCATACAGCAATTTATGTTATCCATTAAGTATGACTCTATAATATTATTAATAATGCGATGCGAAATGTTATACAAACTTATTACAGAGTTGTCCAAAAAGTATCATCTTGTAACAAGTTATAAAAAAAAATTGTTTAGCAAGGTTCTATACCAATTTCTTATTAACACTGTTTTCCTATATAGTGTGGACGTACCTTTAAATGACTCGCCCTGTATAGTTTGGCGAAACACCTTGTGTGTCTTAAATAGTGTAATAGTGCGATATTCAGTAGAATTTCGATGCAATAAAGATAATTTCATGTAAGAAGGAAGTTCAATATAAATGTTATCCCCCATTTCCGCATCCCCCAATCAAGCTAAAATTTAACGACGTAATTTAAAAGAAGAAACGATCGATACACACGTATTCGTGACAAAAATGGGCAAACTCATTATCTAGATAAAAAATTTCGAATAACGAATAAAAGATAAAACAAGTATTTCGTCATTTTTAAGTGTTTAAACGTGGAAATTTCAATTTTTATAATAAAATAATACTTTATGAATGAACCGACATTTGTCGAACAATTTTCTAATCTCATTAACTGTTTAAAGCTCAGGACGCCACCCTTAGATACTGCTGCTTTTCACTGTGTATTGTTCGAATAAAATTCTGCCCAACTCTGGTTGGTGACCGATCCGCAACAGGTATTCGCAAAACATCCCCGAGGAGGAATTCTCTCGTCGAAGAATTCGCGCGTGTAGGTCTAACGGGTCGAACGTTGATCGCACGGCCGCCGTCCGTTCTCGACCGCCAAGAAAGAAAACGTGCAAGTACACGTGTTAGACACGTATAACGGTGCACACGTGAACGTGAGCTTACCAACCCTTGAATTTTTTCCAATGAATTGTTCTCTCCGCGCGGCACGTCCCCAGTTGCGGTCAATATCGCGCTCTCTTAGAATAAATACTTCACCACCGTGGGAACACACGCATCCTACTGTGTGCCTACCGCCATCGTGTAATCTATAGGAGAACGGCAACCACCGATACATTCGTGTTTTTTTCGAGACTTTATACTACCGTCCAGACCTATCTGAACACTTGTACGATGATGCGACACTCTTGAAATATTCCATGAATATTTGTAAATACAGTGGATAAATAGTATTTGCACACCCTTTAAAACAGAACAACTTTCTTAAAATTCGACCGAGTAACTTGATTTTTTTGTGAAGTTAGAAGGATTAATTTACTAAATCATATGTCAAACCAATTTTTAAAACGTTGTAATTGGTCGGAATCGCGAAGTAAATAGTGAAGGTCATTTTTCACAACTCTTTTATCTGAGACTGTAACGAAAATTTAATAAATACGTTTTTAAGATTTATCTTACAATTTGATAGATATACACATACTGAAATTTTGATTGAAATCGGTTAATACAGAGACGAACAACAGGCATCTAAACATGTAAGAATCTTTAGATTTACTACAGCTGTAGGTCAAAAGTCGCGAAAAACTGCAATTTTCAACATTTTTAACCGTTTGTGTCTCGTAGCAACGTGAACCGATTTCGATGAAACTTTCAGGATGCATATAATTAACATAAATCTAAGAAATGTATTTTTAAAATTTTGATTACAGTCTCAGATAAAAAAGTTGTAAAATGCGAGCTTTACTATATTCTTCGGGGTTCCGACCAATTGCAACTTTTTTCAAAAGTTTTTTAACACGCTTTTTTAAATAGCTGACAGACAGTGAAATAAGAGTGATCGTAAATTTAAAAGAAAAGAATACTTCTATTTCAGAAATTTCAAGAGTGATTTATTATTAAAAAGTAGAGAGAATTATGGAAAAAAACATCCTGGTGGACGTCCAAAAGCGACAACCAAGCGACAACGACGAGCCATTCTGAGGGTAGTTTCGAATTCTAGCTTGACAGCACGGCAAATTGCAGCGGAAGCTGGCGTTCACACCAATATTCGTAATGTGCAACGAATAATTAAACGAGCCAAGCATTTAAAAAGACGAAAATTGCTGAAAAAACCGCCACTTACGAATAGACACAAAGCAGCCAGGGATGATTTTGCGGAAAGACATCTCCAGATCCCCCTTTTATCTTTTCAGATTAAAACGTTTTAATTTAGATGGACCGGATGGTGTTTCATATTATTTTCATGATTTGCGGAAGAAAGAATTGCATTTGTTAAGAAGGCAAATTGGCGGAGGCGGCATCATGGTATGGGCCGCAATAGGGTACCACGGGCGAACCGATATAAAATTTATTAATACCAGCATGAATGCAGTTAAATATATAGAAATATTAGAAGAACAATTAACGCCACATGCCAGCACTATTGCAGGTAAAAATTATATTCTTCAACATGAAAATGCCGCTGTGCATATAGCGAAACGTGTAAAAAAATATTTTGAAGACCGTAATATACAAATCTTACCATGGCCTGCGAGGTCTCCAGATTTAAATATAATAGAAAACATTTGGGGCATTTTAGCACGTGCGGTATATGGAAATGGGAAACAGTTTTTGTCGGTAGAAGAGTTGAAAACAAGTATTGAAGAACAATGGGCCAAATTAAGTCAAGATCAAATAAAAAATTTATATAAATCGATACCACAGCGATTAATTGAAATTATAAAAAATAAAGGTGGCACAATACATTACTAATAAATAGAAAAAAATTTTTTTCATTGACTTTTTCTTGTCCAAAATATACATTGTCTTATAATTTCGTCGCACCTTATTTTATCAAAAATTAGAAATTTTAATGAAAGTTTTTTCAATCTAATTCAACAACATTGCCGCTATGGAAATGTATGCACTTCAGTTGATTCTTGGGATTAATAACGAAAACTTTTACGGAAAAATTAGTATTAATAAAATATTAGCTAAAATCGCAGGTGTCTTATAGTTTTGTCGCGGAGTGTATTTACTCACCGAGTGAAGTAAGAAATGTCTAATCAACATAGGTCCTAAAATCCTTTCCATGAATGATACAGAAGTTTGTCTTCACATTTGTTACAGATGTTCGATTGTATTTCCTGTTGTAATGTACCTTTTAACAAATGTACTTCCGAACCCATTCTTCTGTTTATATTCAGTACGTTCCGAAGTGATTCGCGACATTGAACACTCGTAAATATAATAGTTGATTTTTCATCGAAAGGTTCAGTTTAAGGTTTTGAATCACCTAAGGTCTTGGACCCTTTTTTTAACCAATGCTGTATACAGAAGGAACAAGGTTTAGCTGCCTTTTTCTAACTACTGTTGCACTGTTTATGCGTTTATACCAGGTCTGTCCAAGAACATTGTCCTCGTGGCAGCGTTTCGCCCTAGGGCAAAAGTACTTAAAGCGATAGATCTGATAACCCGAACCTACAAAGGTGACGTGTTGTTTGGAGATCATAAATAGAATCTGCGTGTCCCTTACTCAACGTTTCCAGGAGAATTCCCACACACCTTTTTTTCTCAGATCTGTGAAGTTAGCACCCCCGGATGCAAAATTTTATAAAAAACAAACAGTATTCGGTTGTCTACGATTTGTCCACATTTGTCCAACCAAGATTTTAGTTTGTCCAACCTTCAAAAAAAAAAGTTATTTAAAATTCTATTCTATGTAAGGATGTAACCAATATATTTTCCGACTTTTACGCCGTCGAATATAATTACAACATAAGGCGATAAGGTTCTCTTCGTCG